TTGTTGTTTTGTCATTTCGTGTTGTGGCTTCCTAGAACAAATAACCATTTTGTTTTATTCCTAGAGAAATAATTCATGACACATGAACTTTTATCACAAAATAAAAATGTCAGACTTTATCTTTGGAACAAAATTAAGGGTTGGCTATTGTCTTTTGTCATTTATTGTAAAATATGTCATCTCTACTGAATCTTGGTGTGCATCCCACTCTCCAATCTTGATATTCAAAATAGGTGAGTAATTGATTTTTGAGCTCGGTGTATTTCCTCTGTAGCTCATTTGCATACTTGCCTTTTGATACTGAAAGAAATCCTAGAAGCTAACCTCAGAAGTTGTAGACTTTGCCTAGATAAGCATCTGCTGTTTTAATGGTGTTTTGAACTGCAGAGTTACCATTTATATACTCTTTATTCTTTTCTTTCTTATAAGCAAGTGGGTGGAGGAGTGGGAAAGAACTGTAAAGAATGGGTCGACGAACCTGTCCCCTTTCTCTCTGTTTCATCCTTTGCTGAGTGGGAGTTCCTGCACTATACCTGCCTTCCTCAGGCAGTTCCTATTAGAATCCAAAGAAAGAAGAGCACTTCAGGAATTCTCAAACCCTGAACCTATTAAAGGGACCACCAAATAGCAGATGGATTTACACTTTCATTGTTTCATCACTCTTCAAGTGCTTTCCTTGTTCTAGTCTTTAAAATGTTCTATCTGTTGTTTGGGGGTTTTTTTGTTGCTGCTTTCATCTACTGGGAACCACGTCTTGGTGATTTCATAAATAATATGAATTTAATAAATTTTTACAAAGTTAAACTGTATTAGTAATTTATGTGTTTGACGTGCAATTCCTGAGCAGTCAACATAGAACACGCCCTGTGAATACAATGTGAGCAGAGCATCAATCATGGTATCACTCTCACGGAACTTATAGTCTACCAGGGAGAAAGAAATAGACACTGAAAGAGACACACAGCAAATTGGTTACTGTAGTCCGGGAAAGTCTCGTGGAGGGGATGTTCATTGAGCTGAGTCCTGAAGGATGAGAACAGGCTGTGTATGGAGAAGCTGAGGAGGATCATGCCAGGTAGAGCCTAGCAAGGGCAAAGGCCTGGAGGATGGAAATGGAAAGAAGCCCACGTGACTAGAGGGTAGTAGGTGAGATCAAAGAGTGAGGATCCTGGACCAGACCAGGACAAATTTCCAAATGGAAACGTGGCTCATTCCTGAGAAAAGTATCCCAAATAGAACACTCCTAACCTTTTCTGAGGAAGGACTGGGAGATGGTTCCCAGATTCCTCTCTCTATATGGGTAAGCTCTGGTGGTACATTGGTGTGCAGAAAGAGTAAGCAATCTGCCCAAGAGGCACCAATGTCCACAGGTCACTTGTCCCTGCACCAGCTCTTGGGGGTGGCAGGGAGGGTGGCTGGCCCAAGATCCACTGGTCAGACCAAGGCTTAGCTTGGGGAGAAAGGGATGTCCATTCATTCACTTTCCTCCTGACTTCCATATGTGGGGCTCTTTCTGGTAAACCAGCGCCTGCCTGGGATTTCATTGACTGCAGGTAACAGGCTTCACCAAGAGAAGAGCTTTGGCTCATAAGATCAGCAACCTGATGCCACCAAAAGCCCCCAGAAATATCAGGCCTCCACCTCTTTAGATAATCTGGTGGCCTGTGACTCCAAGGCCCTCTCTCCTGCCCCTCTGTGCAGAGGCCTGAGCTGAAGAACCAGGTGGGCAATGGGAGAAGAGACACTTGAGTGAATAGCTCCTAGCTCTCTCCTTCCCAGGATGGGAAGATGATAGAGGATGTCTTCAGAAAATGAGGAGTGGGGTGTGTGAACTAGACCAAGGGGTGGCAAACTCCCTCTAAAGAACCAGATAGCAAATAAGTCTTTATGGGCCACATATTCTCTCACACATTCTTCTTTGTTTTTACTTGTTAATTTTTCTTTTACAATCCTTTAAAAGGTTAAAAACTATTCTTAGCTTGTGTACCTTCCTTTGAGTTTGGGAAGTGGGTTGTAGTTTGTTGACCCCTTAGTCTAGGCTGCTTTGTCCTGACAAATGTCCCTCTATCTTTCTCTCCTTTTTCCACATCCCCATCTTCATTTCCTGACTGGTGAGGCCAAGGAATCTCTCTGAGGCCATGTGGCTGACAAGTGATCCAGTGGCAGGATTTGAGTCCAGGCAGCCTGGTTTCAGAGTCACTGGTCTTAACCGCTGCACTGTAGTATCCCTTAGTAGTAGCTAGAGCTGTGCCTTTGGAAAAGTTCATTTCTCTTTTTGGGTACAGCCTCCATCTACCCACAATATGGTGAGTGAAGTTGTGTTTTCTTCAATGTGAGAGGCATACCTGATGGTATGTGAAGTGATTTCTGGGGTTCATACATGGAGCATTAAATAACACTGATTCACAAAATGAGAAGATGAGTGCCTTTTCATGTCTTTTTCAGGTCTTCCAATTATGTTGGCGGAAAAGGTATAGTCTGATGCTAATACATCTTTAACATTTATCCAAAGAACGTGAAATTCCATTTTTTGTTTTTATATGAACAGGCTTCATGAGAACAGTCTTCAGTAGGAAGTGACATCCAGTTAGGGTTTTAGCATCACTGTTGTACTCTTATTGTTACTTCAATTGTTGCTTTCATGGTTTTATTTTTTAATATTATTTTCCATTTTTATAAATGTTAATGTTGCACTTATCTGTCCATGTCTGAATAATTAGAAGATTTCTGCTCAGACTTCTGCCATCATATCAAAATTGGAACAAGGGGAAAAGGCAGGTTCCAGAAAATTTCATCTCCTGTTACCAGAAAAGCAAAAGACTTCTCCATACATGATCAAAACATGTCACATGGCTACCTGTAACAGCAAAAGAAGCTGAAAAAGTGTATGTTTGGCTGGGTACATTGCCAAACCAAGCTGATCAAGGTGCTATCCTCAAGAAAAAGGCATAGATCCTGAGCTCTGCAGCAAAATTGTCTGCCATAGGCTAGAAGGTCTTGGTGCCTGCAAAGAGCGGGCATGGAAGTCAGAGCTCTGGGACTGTTTGGGGAATTTAGCAAAAACCCAATTTCTCTTCACGTCGTTTACCATCAAGACACCCCCTTGCCCACAGTGCAGGAGATACTAACAAGACATCATTACTCCTAAGGAATGATATGCAGCAAGCAAAACAATATTGCCCCACACTCTTACAGTCACGGTGAGAAAATGTTATGAGTGTGTCCCCATTGGCTACAACAGCTCGAAGTGCTAAGCTAAAGAGCCCCCTTTCTTTACAGTCTACTGGAAAGAAAATATGTTTCCTTGCCTGCACACATTTCCAAATATGGACCCTAGAAATGGGTGTGTGAAACCTTATAAAATCCCAGGCATAGGAAGTTTCTATTTTAAAAACCGCTTTTCAAGTTAATGGGTTTTTGTTTGTTTGTTTGTTTGTTTGTTTTTGTCTGTTTGTTGAGTTGAAATCTCACTCTGTAACCCAGGCTGGAGTGCAGTGGCACTCCTTGACCTGTTGGGCTCAGGTGATCCTTCCACATCAGTCCTCCAAGTAACTGAAACTACAGGTATGTGCTACCACGCCCAGCTGATTTTTTTATTTATTGTAGAATGAGGTCTCACCAAGTTGCCCAGGCTGATCTCGAATCCCTGAGCTCAGGCAATTCTCTCACTTTAGCCTCCCAAAGTGCTGGGATTACAGACTTGAGCCACAGCGCCCAGCTTCAAGTTACGTTTTAATTCAATAAGCACTGAGTGAGTGTCCAGGATTCCCGAGGTACCTTTCTAAGTGCTGATAATGTAGGCTGAACTAGACTCACAAGCCCTGGATCATTATATCCTGGTGGGAGAGATGGAGAAGTAAAATAGGAGTTAAACTTCCTTGTTAAGAGCTGAACGAGGGAGTCAGACTCCTGGGATTATACACAGATTTAGCAGCTTCCTGGCTACATGGCTTTGGACAAATCACTTGCCTCTCTGTACCTCAGTTTCTCCATCTGTAAACTAACAAAGATAATTCTAGTACTTACCTCATAGGGCTATAGTAAGACTGCTTTCTAATGCATGGTGATTAAACACAGCCACTCTAAAGGGCCAGGAAGCTAAGATGTAGAAAGTGTTTTAAAAGGTTTTAAAAAATGAGGATAACAAATTAGTACTTACCTCATTTGGTGGCTGAGTGTATTACATGACTTAATTCACATAAAGTGCTTAGAATGGTGACTGGCATGTACTCAACAAACGTTAGCTGTTCTACTATTTCAAGTACTGAGTTTTTACTTGCTGTCACACAGTGCTTTATAAGGTCTCTAAAGATAATAAAGGATTCAAGGCTAGTTTTAACAAGCATGGTTGCTGCATTCTTGTGCTCAGAGTTGATGATTTCCTCTTTCAAGCACTTACATAAAGGAATACTTCTCAGATGCATTTGCATCTGAGGTGGAAGAATTTGGTCCTGGGAATAAATAACATTAAGATTTGGGGATAACGTATAGTGAGATGAGTTTGTAATTACTAAACGAAAATCCCAACAGACAGAAGAGGTGTCCTGAGACATGATGCATCCTCCTGCCCTCCCCACTCCCCAGACTCCCCTTTCACTAGAACAGCTATGACCGGCTATTCTATCAGCATTTCCAATAATGTAAAAAGGGAAAATACAGACCTGGGTTTTCATGGAAAGTATTCTAACTCTCACAACCAGAATCCTTGCCTTAAAAAAAAATAATGGTTTTTAGATCTTTAACTTTTCCTTCAGTATTTTAGTACCCAACTTTTGAAATGCCTTTTTTTCTGAGGAATGATATTTCCTGGCACAACATAGTCTTTGTCAAGTGACTCAATTTAATGTTTTGTTTTTCCATATCAAGTGGCCCCAACTTACAGAGAAAAAGTGGGCCCTTGGTATCAGTTTGATGTCAGGGTTTTTCCATGATTGAAAGGGAGCTTTAAATACCACCAGATTCGAAGGTGTCTGCAGGCTGAGTTCCAGCACCCTGTCAAGATGCTTTTGCCTGTGGTCCTCACCTCTGCCCTGCTCTTCTGCTCTGTTGCTGGCCAAGGATGTTCAACCCGGTTTGGGATCCTGGACACCAACTTCCTCATTGAAAAGCTTCAGGTAGGCTGCAGGGGGCGCTCGTGGAAAAGACAGGTCCTGATGGTGGCCATGAAATACATATAGGGGAGGATGAAAACACTGCTCATTATGGATTCTTATCTCTCTATCTTAGGAAGATCCATCTTCAAAGTGCAACTGCAGCACCAATGTGAGTGATTGCTCTTTTAAGGACTTTCCAAACTAAATTTAATTTCACACCTGTAATTTTCACTTTGAAATTTCTCTTTTACAGATGACCAGTTGCCTATGTCTGCCCATCCCTTCTGTAAGTATGGTGAAAGCATATAAAAAGTATTTAAGTAAAAATAAATTGATTTGTTTAATTTTTTAAAAATAAATTGATTTATTTAAATTTTTAAATTAGAAGTCACTTAATTGCATTTGTTCCAATTAGCATTTGCTTTTAAAGCCAAGCTCTTGACATTCTATATTATCTACATTTCTCTGTATTTAGTTAGAGTTATGCTCCTTGAGAAGTTTGAACACTTTGCTATATTTAAAAAAGAACATTGAATCTCTTTTAGATGAGTTGCTATGTCCGCAATTAAATCAAACTGGAACTTGGAATAGAATAATTGACATAGCTCATATCATATTGCTTTCTAACCCATTTGTTGATAACTCTATGGTTGTGAAACAATGTAACCAAAATGACAAATCCTTATCTTCCTTCTGTCATAAACCACATCTCTTCCTTCCCTCCCTCCTTCTCCATCCCTTTCTCTCCCTCCCTCCATCTTCCCTCCTCCGCCACTTTTTCTTGTCTACCCTGCTGCTGCAGGGTTCGAATGCTGCCCTCTGGGCAGGTAAAGCATCTGAGGCTGCACGTTTTGGGAGACAGGGCTTTGAGAGAGCCACTGCCCGCTCTGGTAGGGTGGAAAGACGGCAGGAAAGCTCTGATTCCTAATTCCAACTCTGGGTTTGGTGAGGAAGGCAGCATTTATCCAAGGTGCAAGCAAGCTTGGGAGCTTCTCACTCCAGTTGAAGTGTGGCATCACACCCATCTTGGCTTATCCATTAGATGAGAAGCAGCTGGGTCCCTTCTGGGGAGAAAGCTCATTTGAACAGGGCAGCCCTTCCCTCAGTTTATTCAGTGGGCACCGTCTATCAGCTGGTGGGAAAAGACTTGTTCTTTCTCTCTGCTTTTAGACTTATTGTAACAAGACTTTGAACAGGGAAGCATCCTTTGAAAAGGAGACTCAGTACTGGCTATTTTCCAGGGCCCATAGGCCTCATGATTCCTGGCTGGAACATACTGAAAATCTCCTGCAGGGGTGTCATTGTGAAAAATGGCCTCACCTTAAAATATTGGAGATTATTTTCTAGACTGGCAAGGGACCTACCTAGAAATAATCCAAGATTAAAATAGTGTGTATTTATCACTCTTTGTGATTTATTTTCAAAGCTGTCCTCAGAGGGTTTCTTTTAGTAAATCTTCTTATTTACCAGGACAACTGCACCAGCCCATGCTTCCAGCAGGGACTGTCCCAGATGACCAACACCACGGCACAAACAAGATACCTAGAGATTTTCAATCGTGTTAAACGAACAGTTGAAGGGCTAAAGAACAGAAAGTGTCCAGTGAGTTTGTTTTTATATGTGTTATGCTCTGGTCAATGATTTTTTATGTGAATGTTGATGCCAATTCTGTTTGAATGGGAAAAGATGACAAAGTTGGAATTGACAGTACAAGGTCAATAAGGGACATCTAAGAAATGTAATCAGAAACAATAGAATTAAAGTGAGATGCATTGAAACAACAGAGTTAAAGTCAGATAGCCCACTGCCCCCCCCCCAGTTTTAAAAAAACACACCTATAGGGCCATTTACTGCTCTCCACTTACTGAGTAATGAAAGAATTCATTCTGATTGTAATTAGGAACTGCAGTCTAGATCTGAATCAGGGTTGTAACTCATGTAATGCTAAATTATCCTAGAGATTCAATTTGCTAACCAAATGGAAGTTGTTAAGGAGTGTTTTTGTTTGTTTGTTTGTTTTGCTTTGTTTTGTTTGGTTGGTTAAGGAGGCATTCAAGGGGCAACACACCCAGATCAGGGTGGAAGTTTGTCTCTTACTCTAAATGCCCATCAACACATTCTCTTCTTCAGCATCTACCCTAGTTCCTGGAAGGAAGGGTGTGGAGAGAGTGTCAAGGAATTTGGGGTGACCATCTTACCTCCTTTGGGTATTAGCCTCTCCTCTTGAGATCACAGAAAGCCGAAAGCCCTGTCCCTGGCTATTCAGCTGCCGATGTTTCTACTACCAACAGCATCTGGTTCTCATTGCTTCATATGTACTGTTTCATGGATCCCTACCTTGGGGAGAATTATTACATTTATTGTTATCACCTTATAGAGAAGGAAACCGATGCTTAGCTTAATGAGTGGTAGATTTGAGATTTGAACTCAGGTCCACATGACCCCCCAAGTCCCACTCTTAGCCACTGTGCTATAACATGACCTTGGAAAGACAACCTAAAATGATAATAATACCATTATAGGCTTTGAAGTGTCCCTAGGAAAGGTTTTCTCTAATGGGTAGATTTAGAGCCTCTTGGTGTCTAAGTGTATGTGTGTGTATGAACAGATGCCTGAAATCCAACCACAAAGTTAACCACCTACACTGTCTTGACACAATGTGAGCTAGCCTGGACCTGCCCACTTGTTTGCTCTAGGTCTTAAGTCCCTTCTCTGTTCATCCTTGGACCCCTTCCCCCCCAGCTCTGGGCAGGATGGTTCCTGGGGCTGCTTGGGTCCAGACTGTTTGAGTCACTCTGTCCTTGTCAACTTTTATCTCCACAGTTTTTTTCCTGTGAACAGCCATGCAACCAAACCACAGCAGGCAACACGTTGACCTTTCTGAAGAGTCTCCTGGAAACTTTCCAGAAAGAAAACATGAGAGGGATAAAAAACAAAGTATGAAGATAAAATATTATTTATTCTATTTATTGAATTTAAAAGGCTTTTTCTTTAGGTAGCTACAATTAAAAAAAATACCAAGTAAGCTACACTAAATGAGAACTGATCATTTATTTAAAATTGTATGTCTTTATTTTGGAATAAATATATATGGAGAAAAAAAACCACAAGCTGGTCTCTAGGTGCTTATTCATTCCTTCCTGCCCAGATCAAGGAAAGACAAACTTTCTCAAGGGGAAGAATGAACCAAAGGCACCCATAGTAAGAAGACTCCTGATGCTGAGAACAGACTCAAAGGCTCACAAGAGTGACTGGGGCTGTGGGATTCAGTTATGAAGAAACAGCCTGAGAGTTGCCCCCAGGGAAGCTGAGAGAGGGAGGCCCAGGGCACTACCAAGGGGCTGGGGTCTGAGACACTGCACCTGACATGGGAAAAACAGCAGTTTAGTAAGTGCAAGATGTGGAGACTGCACAAGAATGTGGGCATGTTCATATGTGAGAGGGTAAAGTGCTTGGAGCATATTTAGGGGATGCATCATGGAGCCTTTGGGGTCAGAGCACCCAGCAGAGGAACCCTGGGACAGCTACCGTCTGCGTACCTAAAACACCACCTATGAGTCCCCACTGTGTGCCGGCCAGTGCCTGGCTGGGTGCAGGGTCTAATGCGGAGTTCCCTGAGGGATCCTTGCAGCGGGTATGTGCCTGGCACAATGTGGTAGCAGCCCTCCATCTCACCATGACATTCAACCTTTTCCCATCCCAGCTCCCCAATCCTGGTGTCTGTTCCATGACACTTATCACCTTCTAAAGATGCTCTCTCATCTGTTAACTCACCACATTCATCGTTTCTTGTCTGCCTCTCCCTGCTCACATACCAGCTTCCTGAAGGCAGAGAGCTTCATTTTGTTCATGGTTGTATCCTGAGTGCCCATATGGAGCTGGCATGGAGCAGATGATTTATCAACATGGACTGAAAAGAGAAAAGGCCTTTGAGATGTGAAAGTGAAGTACAAACTGGTGTCTAGACCAGAGCTGTGCACACCTGGAGAAGAAGCAGTGCCCATGACATACTACAGGTCCTCAGAAAAGTGATTTTTTTTCACACACCTCAGGCAGGCACCAGGCCTGGGTTCATACCACTAGGCCACTTAGAAGGTGGTTAGTCACCAGCAGCCATCCTGTTTGGCCTCCCTGGCCCTGTGTGGTGGACAGGTGGAGGCAGGGCTAAGGTTATGTTCGAGGGGGTCTGATTATCAGAACAGCCGTCTCCCCCACTGTCTGAAGACTAGAAGGCCTGGAAAGAGCTTAGAGGCTTTTAAAGGTAACATTCAACCTTTTCCCACCCCAGCTCCCCTGAATCCACTCCAAGCACTTTGCCCTCTCACATATGAACATGCCCACGTTCTCGTGGAGAACTCTTCCATGAACAATTTTTTTAGGTACCGTCAAAATTAAAATTGCTTCCCCTCCCTGGTGTGTTAGCCTGTTCTTAGAAATTTTTCATCGGAATAATATAGAAAGTTCAAAGCAGTAAGAGACAGAGTCCTCCAATGGACTTTGGTCCACTCTTATTCTCTATCAGTTACACTGTCAAGCAATACCTAGATGTCACCAGCACTGTAGGCAGCCCTCGGCCAAAGGTGAGATGCTCTAATCATCAAAGGAGGCCAGTCCCTGGCGTTGTGTGGCTCCCTAGCCATAAGTGTGGGCACAGGTTTTGCCTTCTGCCTGCAGCTGATCCCTTCCAGCATGGAGGTGATGGAGAAGGAGTTTTAGTAAAAGAGGTCAAGGTAGGGGAATGTTTTATTATTTTCTTAGGTTCAGAAATTATGAAGTCATGATGACATCCAATCAGAATTTTTTTAGTTTTAGTTGAGACAGATAAAGACAAGTTTCTCAGTTATGTATCTCTATTTTCTTATATTTCTATTTTTTTTGTTTTTCTAACAAACAGACTATCTGTCCAGGCTCGTGTGCAGTGGCATGATCATGGCTCGATGCAACCTTGACCTCCTGAGCTCAAGTGATTCTCCTGCCTTAGTCTCCTGAGTAGCTGAGACTTCAGCGCAGCCAGCGCACCTGAATGATCAGTTACTTATTTCTAGAAGCTTATATATCAAAGAGCAATAAGCTGGATTTTGAAATCAAGAGGCTTTCAGAAGGAGATCACTGGTGAGGATTAATTTCAGAAGGGGATTTCCTGCAAGAGTGGATATGAGACTTCATATTCCGCCGGGCTCGTGGCTCAGCCTGTAATCCCGTGCCTTGGGAGGCTGAGGTGAGTGGATTGCCTGAGCCCGCGGGTTCGAGACCCGCCTGGGCAGCAAGACCTCATCTCTACAATAAATCAAAAAATTAGCCGGGCGTGGTAGCGCATGCCTGTAATTCCGGCTACTCGGAAGGTTGAGGTGGAAGGATCTCCAGAGCCCAGCAGGTCGAGGTGCGGTGGCTGCGGTGGCCACTGCACTCCAGTCTGGGTGACCGAGTGAGACTCTAACTCAAAAAAAAAAATAGAGAATTCATATTCCAACAATGACTGGTAGTATACCCAGCATTGCCTATATTATTTCTTCCTGAAGGCTTAATGTTCTGGCCATCCTGTGTCCTTGGTGCTTCCCCCGGGACAAGGTGCCTGTGGGGGCCATGGCTGTTGGCCCCCTAAAGGTTTGCTGAAAAACCATGGCATGAGGCAGATTGATCAACAGGAGAAAAGACATACACACTTATTTAACCTGTATGCATGGGACTCTTCAGAATGATGGCTGGACTTCCTAATGAGATGTGGAAACTTAAATACCATCCGGAGGTTACAGAAAGAAGAATGGCTTGGATTCTGGTAAAACAGGTTATGGAATGGGAAGAAGAGGAATTCTATGGAGGGACAGCCAATGATTGCTAGGAAAAAAATGAATGGATACTTGGGAGAATGAGTGGATGAGGGGAACAGAGATTGACTCGTAAACAGTTCTCTTTGGGAGTTGAATGAGCCCGAGAGACAGGCATTATTTTGTGACATCCTTGGGCCAGGTCTGGCTACATTCTTCCTTTCCTGCAACAGATAATGAGATCACAGGGAGGGAGGGCATTTTGTTTGGGGACAGATAGTGGCCAAGGTGAGGTCAGTAAGATCTTGCAGCCTTCTGTTCAGCATGTCAAAACACCATATTTGGAGTTATTGGTTTGCAAGCCCCAACGTGCCTTTTCCCTTAGCACCGTCCACTCTGCATGACACACAGGAGGTGCCAAGAAGGTCTTTCGAGTAATACACTTATTATTATTTATTAGTATTAAGCCCTTAACTATCAAGCAATTACTCTGTGTGTACTAGCATACAGTATCTCACTGAACCCTCTAGGAATGGTAGGAAGTAGATATTATTATTACTGTATTTCTATTTTATAGATATGGAAACTGGAGATAGAAAGGCTTAATGACTTTCCCAAAATCCCCTAGCTGGTGAGATGTAAAGCAAGGATTTCTCCCCAGTTCCCTCTGCTTCCAAACCTATTGCTCATTGCATTCTGCCTTTTTCTTATTCTCTTTGTATCAGGGGTATATGTTGCACTTCCTCTGACTGTAGCCTGAGGGTGAAATAGATTAATCATAATTCCAGTCCATACTCTCTTTTTTAGAAAACTGGGAGACAAACAGTTTTCAGAATTCAAGCCTTTCGGCCTTTTAGGAGGTGAAAACACAATTCATGTGCCACATATTAAATAACCCCTGTAGCAGGGACTGGAGCAAGATTCCATCATGAAACACATCAGCATCAAAACACGTGAACATTCACACAAAATGGTCAAGCTTTACAGCCAAATGAGTCACAACAAATCTTGGGTTTTCAGAGCTGTTTGGGTTTCAGAATTACACTAAGATATTGGCAAAATGCCTTAACTAAACAGCTTTTCTGTAGTGCAGGCCCTACTTACTGAAGGGAAGGGGCACTCCCTCCTGAATACTCGATCTAGGGCTGGGCTGGGTGTCTCCAGGAGGCACAGAGGCTTCTGTAGCTCCCAGGACAAACTGCCATGTGGTGTCCTGGGTTGTGGTTGCAGGGCCTTCTCTTCTCCTCTCCTCCACCTGGGTTTTCTGAATGACTAGCCCCAGACATGGTTGCATCCTGCAACACAATATGGTTTACCACCTGTTGCACCTGCAGACACTTACCTCAGCAATCCTCCCCATTTAAGCAGGATCACAGCAGTGCCAGATGCTGTGGTAGGTGATGGTTTCTGAGCACAACCCAGAATTGCGATCTACTGTCAGAGGAGATGGGCAGAGATGAGCTCCAACCTATGGCCACAGATGAGTCACCAGCATAGCTTGGTGTCTTCCCTCAGCCTTTCTGCAAAAGTCACATAAACCACAGTGTTCACCCCTGCAGGCAAGCACCAAGAAAGAGTCACCTGCAGTGAGGTGTGAGGTAATGACTGTCCTCCCTATGCCAAGAGAGGTATTTATCTATTTTATATCAGTCCCACTGCACAAATGAGGAAACTGAGGCCCAAAGAGATTACATAATTTTCCCAGGGACACATGGCTCACAAGGTAAAACTGCTGCCCTGTCCAAGTTGCCAGGGCCAGGCAGAGTAGTTTCCAGGAGATCCCAGATCAAAGTACACTCCTGTTGGCCAAAGCCCAGAAATAGCCAGGTTTAAAGGTGGCTCATCCTTCTATCCATCCATCCCTCCATTTGTTTATCCTCCTAGTATGAAGCTATGAAGTCTCAGCCCCACAATTCCCCCCCTCCCTTTATCATATTTTGCTACCCTACTCCCCTCATTGACCCCAGACCAAGACTTCCCTGGCTCAGTGAGGGGTGCCTTTCAGAAATGCAAGGAGGACCCAAAGGGGTTCATTCTTTATTTTATTAACTTAAAAAGATGGCTTTATTGAGCCAAGGTTGACAGGTGGGACCTTATCAAACTGAAAAGTTTATTGCATGGCAAAATAAACCATCTGGAGAGTAAAGAGACAACCCATGGAATGGGAAGAAATATTCA